GAGCCAGAAATAATTTCTTGTCAACAGACCTACAGATTCTAAATAGTGTCAGTAGTGTCAGCAAAGTGAGGGTCTTCTCTGCTTTGTTAGATAAGTATTAGTTAATGTATAACAAATCAAGATATGCAATAGTGTTTTTTCAACAACAGGCCAAATTCCCTCTCCCCTCCTCCCCCGCCCAGTTACCCCCATATATCATTGATTTCATTGGAGGTGACTTGGTATAAATGAGGGGAGAATTTGACTCCCCATCCCTTTCCCTCCTCCACAAAAAAATGTGACCATATTTTCTGGCTAAATTTGGTTAATGGCATCAGAACCCACAGATGGCACAGCACCTGTGAGATTGGGATTCAGGGTTGGTGGGGGAGTGACTAATTCTAATTGAAAGGACACACAACAAATCCCTAATCTAACAGGAGCTGATTGGGAGCAAATGTGCATGCTGCAGCAGCTTGTAATCAGGGGAAATGCTGTTGATCAAATTAATTTTAAAAATGAGATTAGACATATTTAAGACTGTTAAAAAAAAACTGCCTGGGATTATTACTGCTAGTTATTACTTGCATCTGGGCAGCCAGTACTTGGTCTGTTGCTGTTTGAAAACCTTGTGGGGTCAGACAGAGTCTCTGCAAAGATTTGCAAGAGATGTGTTGTTGCACTTCAACTTGCATCTGTTTCATGTCACAATTACAGCCTGTTTGAAAACTCATCCCAGTTATTTGGAATCGGAGTAGGCTAGGTACTACACTGCACTGGATATCTAGGAGGGCCCTATGCACCTCCATAAGATACGAATAACTCCCAGTGAAATCAAGTAGAGTTACTTCTATCCTGTGGTATTAAAATAGTGTTCTGGATTTGAGGCTGATCTCAGGCCTTTCCTAAACCCTCACATCTAGAGGAGAGTGGGAGGAAACATTGCAGAGGTTAGTGGTGATGGTTTGAACTGTGATAGTGCCCAGAGGTCCCAGTCAGGATCCTGGCCCTATGGTGGTCTCTGCCCACCAAAGAGTTTGCTATCTAAGAAGACAAGTGACATGCAAAATCAAATATATACAATTTTCAAAATATATATGTACATTTGCCATTTTTACTTATGAATAGTTAAAATTAAGTGCCACTTCTCTCAATTTGCCCTTCAACCTAAGCAAAAATTGACTGATTTTTGCATAGGCATGACAACAGATATGAGGCAGTCTTCACTAGAAGACATAACATACATATAAAAATTTACCAGCAATATCTCTGAAAGACGACATACCTTATAAATTCTTAGTTAAACAAGTGCAATGTGTTTAACCCAAAGAGCATCTGACACCCGGAGGTAATCGTCATCAAGTTTTGGAGCTTGGCAGCACAGAGAGGTTTTTTTAAAGCTGCTTGAAGAAAATGACTTAAGAAAGATTCAAGGTCAGTTCCCTATAGGTCCTGGCTGAGTATGTCAGACTTTCCCTGAAAGCGAAGCATTTCTCTGCCAAACTACTGTATATAGCTAGTGGAGGAAAATCCCATAAATCTCTCTCCTCCATTTATCCTGGGTCAAAGAGAGGTCCTTGCATGAGCATTATGTGACCAACTGCTCTTACTGGAAAACAGAGAGAGATTAGAGCACGTACAGTACTGGAAGAGACTTTACCCTTGCGGTCACAAACCTTCTCAGCTTACAGCTCAGAGTCAGCCCTTTGGAAGTACATACATACAGTAATGTTAAAATAGCTCTTTACTTTTTTAAGCACATCACATTTTCATCTCATGATTCTAGCCCTGCTTTTCAGTAGCCATTAACACAATGATAACTTCTGATATTTATTTTAAGTCAGTCACACAATTGACGTGAGTCTTTCACAACTTCACAATGACAAGAGACATGAGTCTTTCACAACTTCAAGTGACCTGAACCTCTGTTGAACTAGTACTTAAATGACTTACATTACCATAGTATGTGAGTTCCTCACAACCTCTATGTATGATACTCACAATACACCTGTGAAGTAGGGAAGTGCCGTCATGTCCATTTCACAGATGGGGAACTGAGGACTAGAGAGACTAAGTAAGTTGCTCAAGTCGCACAGGAAGACACTGGAGATCAGGAAAATGAGTCTGGGTCCCCTGAGTCCCAAATTAGTGCCCAAACCACTGGCTCATCCTTCCTTCTCTCTCTTGTCCAGTACGCACTGCCTCCAGCAACAAAGTGCCACCCACTAACACTATGCCTGCTGCACCTGGAGCTGCAGCTAGCAAGAGATGTTAAGAGTAACAGGAAGGGTTTCTTCAGGTATGTTGGCACCAAGAAGAAAGCCAAGGAAAGTGTGGGCCCCTTACTGAATGAGGGAGGCAACCTTGTGACAGAGGATGTGGAAAAAGCTAATGTACTCAATGCTTTTTTTGCCTCTGTCTTCACGAACAAGGTCAGCTCCCAGACTGCTGCGCTGGGCATCACAGCATGGGGAGTAGGTGGCCAGCCCTCTGTGGAGAAAGAAGTGGTTAGGGACTATTTAGAAAAGCATGGGGCTGGACGCGTTGCATCCGAGAGCGCTAAAGGAATTGGCGGCTGTGATTGCAGAGCCATTGGCCATTATTTTTGAAAACTCGTGGCGAACAGGGGAAGTCCCGGATGACTGGAAAAAGGCTAATGTAGTGCCAATCTTTAAAAAAGGGAAGAAGGAGGATCCTGGGAACTACAGGCCAGTCAGCCTCACCTCAGTCCCCGGAAAAATCATGGAGCAGGTCCTCAAGGAATCAATCCTGAAGCACTTACACGAAAGGAAAGTGATCAGGAACAGTCAGCATGGATTCACCAAGGGAAGGTCATGCCTGACTAATCTAATCGCCTTCTATGATGAGATTACTGGTTCTGTGGATGAAGGGAAAGCAGTGGATGTATTGTTTCTTGACTTTAGCAAAGCTTTTGACACGGTCTCCCACAGTATTCTTGTCAGCAAGTTAAAGAAGTATGGGCTGGATGAATGCACTATAAGGTGGATAGAAAGTTGGCTAGACTGTCGGGCTCAATGGGTAGTGATCAATGGCTCCATGTCTAGTTGGCAGCCGGTATCAAGTGGAGTGCCCCAAGGGTCAGTCCTGGGGCCGGTTTTGTTCAATATCTTCATAAATGATCTGGAGGATGGTGTGGATTGCACTCTCAGCAAATTTGCAGATGATACTAAACTAGGAGGAATGGTAGATACGCTGGAGGGCAGGGATAGGATACAGAGGGAACTAGACAAATTGGAGGATTGGGCCAAAAGAAATCTGATGAGGTTCAATAAGGATAAGTGCAGGGTCCTGCACTTAGGACGGAAGAACCCAGTGCACCGCTACAGACTAGGGACCAAATGGCTAGGCAGCAGTTCTGCGGAAAAGGACCTAGGGGTGACAGTGGACGAGAAGCTGGATATGAGTCAACAGTGTGCCCTTGTTGCCAAGAAGGCCAATGGCATTTTGGGATGTATAAGTAGGGGCATAGCGAGCAGATCGAGGGACGTGATCGTTCCCCTCTGTTCGACATTGGTGAGTACTGTGTCCAGTTTTGGGCCCCGCACTTCAAGAAGGATGTGGATAAATTGGAGAGAGTCCAGCGAAGGGCAACAAAAATGATTAGGGGTCTGGAACACACGAGTTATGAGGAGAGGCTGAGGGAACTGGGATTGTTTAGTCTGCAGAAGAGAAGAATGAGGGGGGATTTGATAGCTGCTTTCAGCTACCTGAGAGCTGGTTCCAAAGAGGATGATGGTTCTAGACTATTCTCAGTGGTAGAAGAGGACAGGACAAGGAGTAATGGTCTCAAGTTGCAGTGGGGGAGGTTTAGATTGGATATTAGGAAAAACTTTTTCACTAGGAGGGTGGTGAAACACTGGAATGTGTTACCTAGGGAGGTGGTAGAATCTCCTTCCTTAGAAGTTTTTAAGGTCAGGCTTGACAAAGCCCTGGCTGGGATGATTTAATTGGGGATTGGTCCTGCTTTGAGCAGGGGGTTGGACTAGATGACCTCCTGAGGTCCCTTCCAACCCTGATATTCTATGATTCTGTTAGAAATGGACCAAATTTTAATTTTCTGCAGAATTTTTTCTATTGAAAGTTTTTTCCATTTTGAAACCTTCAATTGTTATTGAAATCTCAATTTTGGGGGTGTGAGGGGGGGAATTCTGCCATGACACTAAACTGTCAATCAAAATTGGTGATGCAAAAACTGAAAGGCAAAAATGCAAAATAATTAACCAAGCTAACTTTTTCATCAATAATTTGCACTGAATTATTTTTTTTACAAAATGTGCAAATATTCATTTTTGATAGGGCTTGTTTTCAATGGAAAATGTCCACCAGCTTTCCTGAAAAGGTATCATTCTTTCTGGAACTTTGGAATGGAAAATATATCATGGGAGTGACTGCCTGTTTTGGGAATATGACAATTTGCTTCACTTCACTTTACTAAAGAGGCCCTGAAGCGTGAGAGATGCAGTGTTGCCTATTCTTGAGAAACTTGGTGTTTTTCTTAAAGCACCTGCCTCTGAAGTCATGTGAATACATGCAAACCTCAGCTTTAATTTAAGTCTCTAGCTCTCTTGGTTGCAGTGAAAGCTTGCAAATGTGAACCTTAGTGTTTCAAAAACCAGAAGGCAAATCAATTATTTTTTAAGCCAATTTCATGGTTTCTACGGTCTTACTCTTAATTTTTGAATACTTGGAGTTGGCAATACTGGAGATGTTTATATTTTCCAGAACACAGCATGTCAATGTGACTTTTATTTTAGATTAAGGAGAACAGCAAGCAAAGTAAGAACAAATATAAAGTCTCTATTAGGGATGCAACAATGTGTGTCTTTTAATACATAAGATCTTCCATTCTGAATCCCCCTCAAAACCCTGCTCACTCACATACAGGCAGGCAGAATTCATACATATTAAAGTGTGTAGTACTCAGAAAATAGAACTATAGCTATCCACACCCACAGAGACCCTTCACCTTGTATTTATATTGTGTATTTCTGCTTTTCTAGTGTGCCAGGAAGCAGTCTGGGAGGTCTTCAAGACATTCTGGGATAGACTTCCAGCACGTGAAGAATATCAGTACTGGATGAGTTTGTGTGAGGAAGGAACTATGAGCATATTTGAAATGGGCACAAACTTCAGTCAGTCCGAAGAGCACCAGAGCCTGATTAAGAAGGTAAGTGCAGTAGGATGGGGTCTGGTTACCAAATCTTTTTCAGGAAACCAGCATGCATTGTTATGCTCCAATGTGCGACTTCAAATGACAATGAAAAAAAAGTACATGTCTGAGTTTTGTGGTGCCTGGATTATTAATTTAGAGGTACTGTGTTATGAAAATAAGGCACTGTGCTCATTTGAGGGAGAGCAAAACATTATGATGCAGAGGATTTTGCTTTAATGAGTAACTCAGTGCCATTCACTGCAATGACCTGGCTAGTGCATATGTGGGACCATTGCCTTCTACTGGATGGAATCAGACTTGTTCAGCTGATTATCATAGGCCTGAGGGCCACATCTGGGTGGGGAAATTGTATGTAGGGCCATGAATGTAGGGCTGGGGCAGGGGGTTGGGGTGTGGGAGGGGGTGCTGTGTGCAGGAAGGGGCTCAGGGCAAGGGGTTGGGGTGCAGGAGGGATTTGGGGTGTGGGCTCTAGCCCAGCACCGCTTACCTTGAGCGGCTCTGGGGTGGCAGCAACGCACAGCGGGGCTAAGGCAGGATCCCTGCCTGCCCTAGCCCCACGCCATTCCGGCACCACGTCCCTGCGGCCCCCCGCAGCTCCCATTGGCCACGGGTGCCTGCAGGCGAGGGCAGTGAGTGGAGCCCTCTGCCCCCTGCCTCCCCAGGGGCTGCAGGGACATGGTGCTGGCCACTTCTGGGAGCGGCGCAGGGTTCGCGGAGCCATGGGGGTGGCAATCCTGCAGGCTGGATCCAAAGCCCTCAGGCCCGCGGGCCGTAGTTTGCCCGCCCCTGTCATCGGCTGTCTACAGCTAATAGAGGTTTTCTTTCATCTCAAGTGGTAGGCACCTGGGACTTCAGAGCAGGAGCCTCAGTTGCATTCTTGCTCTTACTAAGCTGAACAGCACAATGACAATACTGACATTCCGGTCACCACGTATTTGCTACTCAGACATGCACATGCACATGATTTGCAAATGTGTGTGTTTGTAGACATTAGACTCGATATCCTGCCTAGAGAGTCTGTGGCCTTGTCTACATGGAGAGTTTGCACAGATTTAACTAAGGGTGGGACTATAAACCACTGTAGCCAAACTGGTGCAAACCCCTGTGTGAACACTGATTATTTTGGTTTAAACCAGGCTTAATTTTATCTTAAATCAGTTTGGCACTGCTTTAAACTAACCTGAAACAAGCCACTCTTAAACCAAATCGGCATGTCATCCCAAGGGTTTGCACGGGTTTAACTAAACCAGTGCAAGTTTGTATGTGTACAATGTCTGGCTCTATAACAGTGTTTGCTTAAAATGGTTTTTGCAGTCCAGGCATATATTTCTTCTTTGAAGGGAGTTGATGGTGGAATATAAGAGGCCATTTTTCTTTCATACAGAGCAGTTGTTCATTAAGGATAAAGGCCGTTCTAAGATGTATGGTGGATTCTATGATCTTTTTAAAGCCAAAAATCTCCATTGCTTTTGAAGATTGGAGATTTGTGTGTGCTAATGAGTAAGTTAACGCTTGGGTAGGCTTTGAGGACTCTTAGGAACACAAGCCTATAAGATGCGTAACATGTTGGTTAGTGTGTATGTGTTCCGCTGCTGGTCAGAATATGAGACCGGCTCAAGTATTTGTCATGGTCACTTGCTAGTGACTGACCCACAGGGGATATAAACCTGAACAGCACTACAGCTAATGGTGCCTCTGTCTGTGCTCTTGTGTTGGTTTTTGTAGATGGATGCTGGCAGAGTCCTGTTGTTAACCTTCATAAACATGTAAGAAATTTGGTAGTGTTGCAGTTATCCTTGGAAAAGTTTGCAGCTAGATAATGAATGAAGTTCTAATGGAAAATTTTAAGGAAGTTAGTTTTTTATTTACATTTTGAGTGTATTGTTGAACTACCTGAAGTATTATAGTGGTATGGGTGGTATAGAGTTGAAGGTTTCAGAGTAGCAGCCGTGTTAGTCTGTATTCGCAAAAAGAAAAGGAGTACTTGTGGCACCTTAGAGACAAACCAATTTATTTGAGCATAAGCTTTCGTGAGCTCACAAAAGCTTATGCTCCAATAAATTGGTTAGTCTCTAAGGTGCCACAAGTACTCCTTTTCTTTTTATAGAGTTGAAGGTTGTTGTCTTCTAGTCTTTACATATAAAGGCAGGCACATTCTGATGCATCTTAGTCCCCACTGTTGCTTCAATGTTTTGGATAGAGTATTTAATATTACATATGAAATCATTAAAGAATGAATTGCTTTAAGTCCAGCAATTAATTTAGGTTGAATTGTTTGTTGTCCATTCTCCTACACAAGGGTGATTCTCTCCCTCTCTCTCTCTCTCATACATGCACTCACTCACATAGTGTTTCTGTTTCCATTGCTGCCATCTACCACTTACTTCTAAGCTCTTGGACTACTTTGCTCCACCCTGAAATTTCCACATGGCTCCCCACTGCCTCCTACCTTCCCAGTACATCCAAATGGCTCCCCCTGAGCATTTGATCTAGAAATCATTGTGATAAAATAAACATGGAACCCTACCCTACCATTTTCAATCAGTTTTCAGAGAATGCATGTGTTTTAAGGTGGCTCTGAGGACTTCAGTCTGCATAGACATACGCCTTATAATTCTCTTTACTTTCAAGAACATTTTCCCTCCTAATTGTTGCTGCTTCATCCCTGAATGGATAGTGTGGCTTTCATGAGTTATTGGCCAACTAAGTCTACGTGACTCCTAGATGACTTTCTACAGCTCTGGGTTGTGTCCTGTTTCTCTTGTCCTTTTCTCCAGCTGAGATGATGTTGGAGGTTGTGTATGAAACCCTTAGGATATTTGTGGAAATCTGCTTTCTTTTGCTGCGCTTGTCCATTATTTGCTCCCCTTTGTCTTTCATCTTTTATGTTCATAGGGCTTGTGTGACAAAGCCAGGATACAATCTGGACTGATAAACAGCTGTATCCCTCGAGTTCTCTAACCTGGGGTGCCTTTTACACTGCCTTGTTGTGAGAACAGCCACTCCTGATCTGCTCTCACACAGCGTCCAGCATGTAGATTACTCCCAGTTCCACTGTATGAGTGCTGTAGCCAGTCACTCTTGAATTACACTACAGAGCGACACCAGCAAACTCCCAGTCCAAGACTTTCCCCCAGAAATGTGTGTCTTGTACTGCCCAGCTCTCTCCTGGACAATATAACCTCATAAAAAGTCCATCATTTTATTAAGAAAATGATATGCACAAATCCTGTTATCCCAAATGGAGTTTCCCAAACACTTCAATCCAAATACTCTGGTTTAGATAAAACAATAAAACAAGTTTATTAACTACAAAAGGATAGATTTTAATTGACTACAAGTAATGAGGCATGAAAGTCAGAATTGGTTACAAGAAAAACAAAAGTAAAATGGAACTAATGTCTAACTTAACAACCTAGAGTGAATTCAAAGCAAAGGTCTCTCTCACCACATGCTTCAGCAGTCTTACTGGCTGAACTTCTTTCAGTCAGGATCCTTCTCCCAGTCCAATGCCACTTCCTTTGTTCTTTAGCTGTTGTGGATGCCGTGGGCAAAGAGAAAGGGAGGAATAATTTGGAGCTTTTGCTCTCCCTTCTTATAGTTCTTTCTCTTCTTTGAGAAGTCTCTCCAGCTGGGCTTCAGGTGACAGACAATCTGTGTGGATGGGAACCACAAGTTGTTTCTTTGTCAAAATGTAGATTTTTTTGGTCACACCTTCTTTCTTGCTGACATTTAACCAGGTGATGGTCCATTTGATTTCGTTGACACCTGGCTGAGGCATCAGCTAGCCTTTTGTCTCTGGGGAACTGGTTTATGGCTGCTTCCCAGACTTGGAATATGTCCTCCTAATACCATACAGAGAAATCTTATGACTTTACATACAATGTTACCACACACATTTTACGAGGACAATAATGATCAGTCAGTCATGAGTTTTGAAATATCATCTCACCAGGCATACTTGGTACAAAAGTTATCATAATCCTGTGAAAGGGATGAACACAGGGGTACAGACTGTCACAGCTTGTTCATGCAAGATGCTGAGCACCTTAATACCCACCCTTGACTTCTTCTGATGGTGGTCAGCATCTCACAGGAGCTCAGCAGCTCGCAGGATGAAGCGTGTGAATGGTCCACATACTCAGTTGATTAACAGAAAGAATCTCTTCTGTCTTGCACTGTAGTAAACAGCAAAGCAGCATACACTCTGTTGGTAATTCTGCGGTCTATCAGTTTGTATTTTGACCACTTAGCCCAGGCTCTGAAATTTCCTTTGATCTGTTATCCTACTATTTTTCAGGTTCATGGACCTCGGTTTTTCCAGGTTCCAGCTAGGACTGGAACTGGAAATTCTGCAACACTGGTCAGATATCCAACCAAAGTTCACATATTTAAGAGATGTGGAGGGTTCAGATAAGCAATATGAATAGGCTTTTGTGATGCTTTTCTGAACTGAAATCCATACATTTTGCGACTCCCCCATCTCTAGCATATACAATAACCCTAACCTTATACAATATTGTGTCATGGGGTTTTTCGTACAAATTGTATCCTAAGATGTTTTGCAGAAGTGTTAAGTATATAGTTACAGAGTTAAAAGAACAGAGGGAGAGAAATGTAATAAAATACAGGCAAGGGAAAAAAATGTTTCCAGATGAGATTCAAAACAGACGTAGAGTCAATTATATCCACAGTTTTACTTTACAATGCTTTGACAACAACAAGACAAGGCCATGTAAAAACTATGGAATAAACACTAGAAATCTGTGCAAAAATTCTAGTGTCATGACTCCAGTATAGTATCAGTTTTTCAAACCATCACCTAAGTCTAATATTTGGTGGCACTTTAGGATTGCATATTCCAGACTCAGACATTGAATGAATAGTGGTATATTACATCCGTGATCATATCATAAATAACATGACTGGCTCTGGTCATAAGAATACAGATTATCCATATATGGTGGCTAGATTAAAAAAAAATTGGCCTTCCA